ATTGTTGTTTGGCAGGTCCGGGCTGGATTCAAACCCACCACCTTAGGTGTATGTGGCTGGCACCTTAGCCGCTTGAGCCACAGGTGCCGAGCCGATTGGGGGATTTCTTAACTGATCTTCTAACTGCTTAATCTGAATTGCCATGACAGTATAGGACTTAGTGGCTTTGACTGTGATAATTATTCATCCAGTCTTCTAACTGCTTAATCTGGTTTTTTAGCTGTTCAATCTGATCTTTTAACTGTTTTGTCTCATTTGCCATTTTTTTCTTCCACCTTTTCTTGTTGGCCTTTCTTTTGCCTTTTATAATCCTTCCCTTCCAAATAGAACCTTTGACTGCCTTAAAGGGCCTTAAAGGGACAGGGGGCATCCATCATTCCAAAACTCCTTCCTGCTGAGAGTGAACGCTGATACAGGGGAAGGCAGTGAGAGGTTCTTTTCCCTAACTGATGAACTCTTACTACCTGTTCCCAAACTTCTTATCTTTCTCTTTTTACTTTTTTATATTATTTCTTCCTCCCCTTGAAATTTTTATCTGCCAAAGGCTTCTCTCACTCCCAAGTCTAAAGGCTTTTGTTTGCTAAGGATTCTTCTTATTCTCAAGTTCTATCTTTTCTCTTTCCCTTTTGTTTCTAAAGGCTCTTATCTGTTTTTTGATTAGGATTTGGAAAGAGAAAGCACAGGAGAGAAGGGAAGAAACTAAATGAGGAAAGCCTGTTGCTAGCTGTCTTTTTCTTATGTATTTCTTTTCCCTCTTTATCTATATATTTTTCCTCTCTCCTTTTCTTTTGTTTGCTAAAAGCTTATCTCCCCTTGGGTCTGCGTCCACTATCCCATCCTCATCACCACTTGTCAGGGCCTAGAACCGGCCAGGTCTCCAGCCCCAACACATGAAACTGTTCAGATGCAGACCATTGTGCTACCTTGCTCAGGATCAACTCCCCTTAGGTGCCAGAGGACAATTTGTCTTACCAAGAGAGAGAGGGAAACAATCTTCAAGGGAGAGAAACAGTCTTAGTAGGAGAGCGAATCTTAGGCGTCTTTGTAGAAGGGCACCAAGCAGGCACCCTCCGAGCAGGAGGAGAAATAGAGTTAGAGTGAGAGAGTCTGTGAGAGAATGAATGAACCCAGGCTAACTTCTCCTGCAGCTACTTATAGAAGTGATCCCATGGCTATTTGCACCACAGGTGTGGAGACCACAAACACTCGTGCTCATGCTCTCGAGTTAAGGAGAGCCAAATCTCTTCCCCATGCCCTTATCACCAAGGTGTTATCAAGCTGTTATGTCACAGGTGTTTCTTATAGTCACAGAATGTTCAGAGCTTAATTCTTGCTTCTCCTTCACTTGAGTTATCTGGTCTCTTACAATTAATAAAATTGATAAACCTTTGGCTAGACTAACCAAAAACAGAAAAGTAAAATCTCTAATAACTTTAATCAGAAAAGATAAAGAGGAAATAACAGATATCATAGAAATAAAAAAAAAAAATCTTTAAAGATTACTACAAAAAACTCTATTCTCAGAAATATGAAAATGTGGAGGAAATGGACCCATGCCTGGAAGCATGTCACTGCCCTAGACTCAAGCAGAATTAGAAATTTTGAACAGACCTATTATCAAGAACTGAAACAGCATCAACTATACAAAATCTCCCAAAAAAGTGAAGTCCAGGACCAGTTGGCTTCACGTCACAATTCTATCAAACATTCGAAGAGGAACTAGTACCTATGCTACATAACATTTTCCAAAACAGAAAAAGAAAGAATGCTTCCCAACACGTTCTATGAAGCAAAAATCACCCTGATCCCCAAACCAGGATACAACAAAGAAAGAAAACTATAGACCAATATCATTGATGAATATCAACGCAAAAATATTCAATAAGATCCTAGCAAACAGAATTAAACAACACATCAAAAAAATTATACACCATGATCAATCTGGTTTTATCCCAGGGTTACAAGGTTGGTTCAACATATGTAACTCTATAAATATAATACACCACATAAATAAAATCAAAACCAAAGACCATATGATTCTATCAATTGATGCAGAAAAGGCTTTTGATAACATCCAGCATCCTTTCATGATTAGAACACTTAAGAAAATAGGCTTCAATGAAACATTTCTCAAATTGATAGAGGCCATCTACAGTAAACCCACAGCCAATATCATATTGAATGGAGTAAGACTGAAAACATTTCCACTCAGATCTGGAACTAGAAAAGAATGCCCATTGACACCACTGTTATTCAACATAGTTAGTACTTGAGGATTTTTCACACACGATAGTCCCCTCTTATTCAAAGGGGAGAGTTCTAAGACATATCCCCTAAAAATGCCCCCATGGATGAGTGAAACTGTGGATAGTACTAAACCTTGTATATGCTGTATTTTTTCCTATACACACATACCTGTGATTGTTTGATTTATAAATTAGACACATAAGACATTAACAATTTCTGATAATAAAAAGAAAAATTATAATAAGTCAGCCTCAAGAGTCATTACTCTTGTGCTTTAGGGCCATTATTATATAAAATAAGGGTGACTTGAACATAAGAACTATTATATCACAATAGTTAGCCTGATAAAAGATATGGCTACTAAGTACTAATAGGTTGGTAGTGAATACAGCATGGTTGTCCTAGACAAAGAAATGATCCACGTCCTAGGCAGGACACGGCAAAACAGCTTGAGATTTTGTTGTGTTACTCAGGATGGCATGGAATTTAAAACTCTGAATGGCTTATTTCTAGAATTTTACACTTAATATTTTTGGGCAACTGTTGACCACAGGTAACTGAAATGTAAGTAAGCAAAACCAAGGATAAGGTGGGCTACTGCACCTCTTGGTCAACAGTATGACGGAAAGGCTACTTTAATAGCTCATTTCATCAAAAAGGTAATTTTCACAAAGAGAATTACCACTGTGTATGACACTATCTCTAGAAGGGACTCCAGCACTTTTACAGGAAACACTTATAGCAAGTAAAGAAAATGTGAATAAAGAAGTATGATTTTTCCTTCTTACACTTGGTAATTTTTTTCATTGTTGATTTGAATGGTTAAAAATATATTCAAAGGTTTTTGAGACTGATTATCCTAAAATCTTTTTCAGAAATAATGAAGTATGAAAAGTTTATCATATTCTTTATCAAAAAAGTTGAACAAATTCAACATATTTCTTTTCATTTACCTTTCTTTTCTTCCCTCATTCTTCCCTTTTGCTCCTGTCTCTTTTCCCTTTTCTTTGCTTTATAATTTATCCTTGTAAGAAAAAGTATGTAAAATTATCAGCATGGAATACCAGCTATACAAAGTATTTATTTATTTGAGACAGAGTCACTTTCTGTCACCCTGAGTAGAGTACTGTGGTGTCAGCCTAGCTCACAGCAACTTCAAACTTCTGGGCTCAAGCCATTCTCCTGCCTCAGCCTCCCAGCTAGCTGGGACTACAGATGTGCATCACAATGTCTGGCTCATTTTTCTATTTTTTAGTAGAGACAGGGTCTTATTCTTACTCAGGCCAGTATCAAATTCCTGAGCTCAAAAAATTCTCTCACCTTGCCTCCCAAAGTGCTAGGATTACAAATGTTAGCTACCTCACCCACCATGTACAAAGTATTCAAAAACAATTAATTTAAAACCTAGGGTTTGGAGTTTAAATTTACCCTGCATAAAGGAATAATATGACTGAAAAAGTAACCATGTGTCATATAAAATTTAAGTTCTTGGATAGTCACGTTGACTTCAATATCAATCCATAGCAAATACTAAATCTAATTTTATTTGCATCGTTTAAAGGGGCAAATATGACTCTGAATAGGTAACAGTCGTACAGTACACACATGGGAAAAGCTCTTTAAGTTTACATGGACATAAGTATTCTCTCACAAAACATTAAGATATTGCCTTAATGGTAGTGTTCATATAGAGAATGAAAATAAATTCTCTTTGTAGTCCTTAATGTTCAGTCTGTCCACTTGCTTCTAATTTTTTAGTACATGTATTCTGCTAGATATTTCTGGCATGTTATTAAGAAAATATATATTCATTTTGGATACAATTTTAATATTCTAACATTTTAAGAAAATATTTTCTATGAGACTTATAATAACAAAGACAACTTAAAAAACAAAAATCAAATCTTACTACTAAGGTACACTTAAAATTCTCTCTTTATGGGCAGTGCCTGTGGCTCAAAGGGGTGGGGTGCCAGCCCCATATGCCAGAGTTGATGGGTTCAAACCCAGGCCCGGCCAAAAACTGCAAAAAAAAAAAATCTCTCTTTACTTCTGACATTTACGTCTGTACCACCATTTACTGGAAAATGCTAATAAGATTTTAAGAGACAAGTCCTGCTTCTGACTATGTAAATGTGCTGAACTATTAGTGAGGATATGATTTCTCACACTTTGGCCTTTTGATGAAACGCCTTTCCAATACCAGTGTGTCATCTCATCCTACAATTTCACACATCAGCTGCCAGGGTATCTGCCCTGACAGCCCAGTTTCACATTGCACTAATGAGTCAACACCTGTTAAGAGTGGAGCAATCTGAGCCTTGTTAGCGACTGTGAAGCCTCCTGGGAGCTGGGACTGAGCGTTCACACTCACCGTCAGCATGTCTGTACTGAGGACCCGGGCAGCGGCTGTGATGAAGTCCCCCACCAGCATCGAGAAGCCAGGCAGACCCAGAGAGAAAAAGCGGGGTGGACAGTGCCTTATGATGGTATTCAAGATATCCTAAAGGGGAAGATAAGAAATCACCATTGTAATTTTCGGAAAGAAAATTTCAAATTAGTCGGTTTGTGTGTACATAGGACTATTGTATAATAAAGAGAACACAGAACACAGAAATTGCATAGGGAGCTCAGTTACTACAATGGTTATTGTACCCATTTTGTAGGTAAGAAAATGGAGACAGCAAACTTAGGATGACTTCTCCATACCTATAATATGGCTTAGGGACTATACATTTCTTCTGTCTCCCACCTAAAGGCAGATTCCTTGGAGTAGCTATAGGAATGATGAGGTAAACACATAAAACTTTCAAACATCTATCATGAAAACAGAATACATTCTGTCTTTTGCTTTCCATTTTCAAAACTTAAAGCATGCTGATACAGTCAAAAAGCTTAAAGTGCACAAGGAGATGGAAATTTTCACTCTTCAGGTAATTTCATGCACATTTCTTCTGTGTGAAGAAATGGGAACACACTAAGTGCTCAGGTGATGCTGTAACTAATGGTGATATTTTAACTAATGGTGATGCTGTAACTAATGGTGACAGTGTAACTAATGGTAATGTAACTAATGGTGACAGTGTAACTAATGGTGATCTAACTAACAGTAATGTTGTAACCAATGATGACAGTATAACTAATGGTGATGTAACTAATGGTAATGTTGTAACTAATGGTGACAGTGTAACTAATGGTAATGTA